ATTACTGGCATTAGGGCATCCCTTGAAGAAATATTTATCTTTCTCTGAAAAAGACATTTGAACATCATTAGGAAATCATAGCAATAAAAGATAAATTCCTAGAATCTTCAATGAGACTTTTAATTATTGGAAATGGAAGATGAAATCCTTGGAAATGCAGGAAACTCTTTCTTTTGATAGGTCTGGAGATTATGTTTGTCTTTTTTTTATCCTGTATGATGGCTTATTTCTCATGTCTTTCCAATCTTCAGCACATGTCATAGAAACGTTTTTCCTAAATCTATTAGAAAAATTTAATAACCAAATAACCTATCTAGTGGGAAAGGAATTTTTAAAGTTCAGTTGCTCTGTTAATAATTTGTATTTTTCCCTCTCCTGCATGTTATATGTAAGCACTACAAAAATCAATCTTTTAAACACAGATTGATTCTGACAGCTTTTATTTTATGTGATTTCCAAGGACTGGTATAGAAATGCTTCTTAATTGAAATAGTTCTCCTTTTTTGGTTTTTATTTTATTGTCCTTTACTTCGTGACATCTTGTATATTAAATCAGAAGCTGTTTTAGAGACACGAAATGACAGCTTTCTCAGAGCCCCACAATACTGGATCCTGATAGATCTCAAAGCCGGCAAGTTGCTTCGAGAAGCTTCCTGCGTGATGGGCGCGTCACCTAGAAACACAGCGTAAACTTCAGGTTAATCACCCAGGATCGGCTGTGTCAATTCTCCGCTGCCCTGCATCCAATTGAAGGGGAAAACGCCAAGAACTATTTTTTTCTTTGCTATTTAATTTAACAGAATCCGAGCTCAACTTTAATTTGAAATTGTATTTCCTCTCAACCAGGAGGGAAAGGCCACTCATGTAATTTAGCGGTGCGCTGTAAAGAAAAATCAACATGTGCTCGTGGAATATTTTCCCATTGTGTCTTCCTCTGATGAGAGAACACATAAAGTGAATCTGGTGTGACGCAGGCATACACAGAGAACCCATTTGTTACACAGAGGTTCTGGGGAAAATGCTGTTTGAGTTACTGTGATGTTTGGGAGTTAGAAAAGGGTTATTTGGGGGAAAATGTATTTATACCGGTCAGCAGGAAGAGAAAACGAGAAAGGACTGAAAAATATGATAGCACTGTAATGAACAGCGCAACAGATCAGACCCATCCTCCTTAGAGATAGAAAGCAAACATTTTATAATGGGAACGGTAACAAGATGAGTATTCTACATTTGTTTTCAGTTCTACCTAACTCTTTGTAACTTTACAATGTAAGATTCAGAAATTGGAGCCAATTACCATAATATGTGGTGGTTTGGTGGGAGCATGTTCTACATCAGACAGTTAAAAGGTTTTATTGCTATTAGAAGCATGTTAATGCCCTTGATAATGTCTCTACTTGCTTTGTAATGTCTCTTGTTGAAGTATAGAATTCTTTTATCTTCTTATTACATTATGCAAAAACTTGAATTGAAAAGATATTTGCAGGAACATTTAAAGTAGTGCATCAATCAGCTTCAAAGAAGAGAAAATGTTCTCGGAATAGCTTATAAAAGGATAACTGTCAGTTTTATTTTGGATGAACAAAGGCGGCAATGTAAAAAGCACTTTATTGTAAAAGCATACTGTGCAATTCAATAAATATGCCATATAAATATAAAAGAGAAGAAAGTTCATAATGATCTTATGACTTAAATGTAATTTAAGTAATACTTTTAAAATACATCTAGCAGTGAAGCACTCTTTCTTCAAGGTTCTGAGTTCTAGCCTTTAAGTCCTCATTAGGTGATAACTTAACTCTCTTTGATAATGTAAGTATTTGAATAGATTAGTCATGGTGCTGTTTTAAAATATCTCAGAAAGATACAGAAAGGTAGGGGTGTGTGTGTGTGTGTGTGTGTGTGTGTGTGGTTGTAGAAAGCACTAGCAAACATTTTAATAATTACTTAATGGTACAAGCTTTTCAAAATGAGTTGTTCTTATCTGCACAGTACTCAGTTCTTTTTCATGCTGTCAGTGCTGCTATAAGACAATTTGGAATTTGAATGTTACTGTTTGTGATTTGAAACAGCATTTCCAAGGGTTCTGTTAGGAAAAATCCATTAACAGTGTAATTTTGGGACTTTTCATATCTGGATACTTATACTTTCCTTCTAATTAGAAACATTTTTCTTATTTTAGCAAGATGCTTTTATTTGTTTTTTGTTTGCTTGTTTTAGTATATGAGATTGAACTCAGGACCTCATGCTTATAAGGCAGGCAGCAGAACCGCTTAGCCTAATCCCCGGCCCAGGAACATGTTTTGAAAACTGAAAATATTAACTATGCAACCTTATTTTTCAAAAGTTTTTATTAGGTTATAAACTTTAACCTGAGAAATGCTACAAAGATGACTCTTTTTTTGATAAGGTTTAAAAATCTACAATGTGAACTATCTATTTAAGGGATATGTTCTGATCCAGCACATAGAAATCATGATACAAATTTTCAGAATAAGGAAAATATGGAATTTGGAATATATGTTTCTGTATATATAGACATCTATGTAGGCCTGGATGCTTATTTCCTGTGTGTGGAAGGCCATTGATAAAGGTTTGTTGATGAAGTTTAGAATATAAAAAAGAAAAGTATCCTAATAAGTAAAATCTGTCTTCTGTCTTGTGACCTCACAAAAGGATGCTAATCCCTTGTTACACACAGTAATATAAATTTTCTTCCAGACTTGTCTTCTCAAGATTCAAAAAAATTTCATTTGAAGTCAAATAACTAGGCTAATTCACTTTCTCATTCCAATGTAGCTTATAAAATTATATTAATGCTTTAATATTTCTAAAAATCATTTATTTTGAAGCCACAAATATGCCTCATTATAATAAGAAATTAATCCATAACTTTATTTATAACACCATTTTTCAGGTGACTTATTTCTTGTGACTAGTGGACATGATGCTTAATTCCTTGAAATAATTTCCCCCTATTTCAGTGGGTCTCACACTGACCCTTTGTAGAAGCAGCACTCTGTTAGTTCTGCTCTCTGAGACACCCCATTTTCTCATGGCTCCTTTCCCTTGGTGTGCTTGGGAAGACTCTCATTTTGAAAGTACATGGAAAATTATCTCATAAAAAAATTTAATAACAACAGAACTTCTGAGATTTCAGAAACCTAGAATTCTTAAGTTATTGAACTATGGGAAAAGCTGTAATTTATAACCAGCAGGTTAGTATGTTGTACACATCTGTGTACTGTTTCAGAAAAGAAAGGTTGTTACCATAGCAACTGCCACATAATATGGAACATACGTTATTTGTGAGATGCCAGGCTTTGTGTTACACACACACACACACACACACACACACACATGTGCACGTGCACACATACCTCCCTCCTCACAGTTACTTTCTGATGTTTCAAGGGTTTCTCCCCTTTTTTCTTACTATTTTAAGGTATTCTCTTCTTTAGTGTACTGTCATTTTAAATATTTTTCTTATTTTTATTTTCTCATACTTGCTGTTTGCATAATATTGGTGTGATTTAGTGATCACTGCTAAGACATTTTCTCACCTAGTCTTATTTGGTTAATTTTTCAAGTTTTTTTCTAATTAATTTTTAAAAATATAGCAACAGTATATAGTGAGGATGTATTTAGTTACTGTGAATACAACAGGTAAATATGCCCAGTAACATTTTATTTCTTGGTATTTTGAGGTTTTTATAATTTTTATTGTGTGATTATTATGACATTTTTCCATTTTTTAAAATTAAAAATATCACATAAATATAAATATATTTAATTTCACTTGAAATCATCATTTAGATGCTATTTAACATTTTATGTTGACAAAGTTTTACTCCTTCAAGAGTAGATTTTGTGTGGCAAGTAGTAGTGCCAAAAAATCAGAAAGGTGAAAAATAATTCTTAAGTCTCAACTTGAATAAAAATCCTGCTAGTATTGTATGTAGAATAATGAATCAATAAAAAGAAGGAAGTAATGATGCAAAATAAGGGATCATCTGATATTGCTGGACAAGAGATTGCAATGTCTAAGTAGTCTGAAGTAAGAGTCTGAAAACAACTTGACATTAGAACAATGGTTTTTGACTCTTGTTGCATCTGTTTTGGGGCAGAGATTTTTGAAAGGTAGACTCATTTGATATGATAGGACTTCTTAAGAATGGTTACTTTATCATCTAGATTGAACATATTATTGTCATTATTGACATATTTTACTGGGTTGGATATTTCTTGGGGAGTAGCATCTGCATTTTCATTTGCATGAACAGACTGCTGGGTACTGGCTTTCCTTAGACAACTACCTCTGTATCTCCAGAATGGTTCTGTGTCATAAAAATGTACTCTATCAGCCCTAAAAACAAAACACTTCTGGTGAAAAATGGCAGAATGAATAATACTCTTTCTTTCTTTAAAAAAAGAGCATAATAGTTAATCAATAAGCATTTATTAAACATCTACCATCTGCCAGGGACAGTTCTGGGGATATAAAGATGGATAGGAGAGTTTCCCTGTCTTCGGGGGACTCACAAATCTAATCAGGGAGTGAAACACACCATTTGCTAACACCATGAGCTGTGCGTTGTGGCCTGGTTTTCCATACCCCTTACTGGTCAACAACAACAGCAACAGTAGTAATAGCCAGAAGTTATGGAACACTTACTTTTTTTTTTGGTACCTGGGATTGAACTCAGGTCCTTGCACTTGCAAGGCAGGCCACCGAACTGCTAAGCTAAATCTCCAGCCCCTGAACACTTACTTTTTGATAAGCACTTCGGATGCATTTGTGACTTAACCCATACAATATAGCTACAAGGGCTTTACTGGGGTGAAACCAGGCTTAACCAGTTTGAGTAACTTACCTATGGTTACACAGTGGGATGGGGAGTCTCAGGCCTTGTCACATTTAAAATAAAGAGCTTTTGCATCTGAACTGCTTGTCTTACCTGCACTGTGATATCTTCATCCTTGGCATTGTTTTTCTCACTAGGCTTTACAGTAGCTACACGAGTGGCTTCTTGGTCATCACTTTGTTCCTACAGTTCATCTCCTCACATCTCCCAGCATGGCCTTGTAAGAATATAAATCAGGTCCTATGTCTGCCTTGCTTGGACCCTTCCAGTGGCTTCCCGTTACACTGAAACTACTGTCCAAGCCATTCCCATGGCTTACAGCACCCTGAGAGCTGGCCACCCCAGTGCCCGTTAAACTTCAGCCAAGCTTCTTCACTTTGCTTTATTCCAGGTATTGGTGTACTTGTAAAGGACTGGTGAATGAATATTTTTAGCTTTGCAGACCATAGCCTTTATTGCAACCACTCAACTTTGCTATTAGAGCAGAAAAGCAGCTGAAGATGTTAAATAAACAAATGAGTAAGATTGTATTCCAATAAAAGTTCATTTACATAAACAAGCAACAAGCTGGATTTAACCTCTAGACTGCAGTTTGCTGACCTTTGTTTTAGACTTACTGTGCTATTTTTCCTTTTGTTCCTCCAGTTTGCCGAGAAACTGCTACCTTAGAATCATCCACTGTCTCCAGATCTTCCCTGGAAGGTTAGCTTCTTCCTGATCATTAGACCCTCACTGTGATGGACAGATTTATTTGCTTTTTACATCTGACATGGGATCCCATCTTACTCATAGAGAGAGCAGTCCAAACTTGTAGCTTAACTCTTATTGGAGGCTTAAGAAAAGGCTTTGACAACATCGTTTCAGATCACTCTGAGACAGAGGATACCCGATGATCACTGCCAGGGTTCCCCTTTCACCTCACAGAGGAGTCCAGATAGGACAAGATGGGGAGATTTTCTGCTGATTACCCGGATGGGCTGTCAAGAGCTAATTTTTTCTGAGAGACCTTTAGGTATCTGCCACAGAGTAGCCCTGGTCATGGCCCCTGAGTTGTCACCTCAGTTCCATGCAATCAGAGATCTGTCCCCGAAAGGAACCCAGTTGCCTATCTGGTTAACGTTTCACCTGCTGTTGGCATCAATGGGAGTGGGGATTCACAAGAGAGCAACTGGCGAAACCTGTCCTCTGCTTGAGAGCGGCAGCTGCCCTAAAGGCAATTACTAGCTGGCAGAGTAGCCATAGTTTGACATTGTATAAGGGACAGATAAAAGCCTAAACTGTCTTTATCTGAGATAAATTCATAAAAGATCCATTTTACAACATTTTTAAGTAGCTAAGTCCAATTGTAACATACAAAACAAGAATAAAACATAATTTTAACAAAGGACAATGCATAAGAGAAACAAGAAATTTGGAAACATTTAAAACATACAGTTTATTGCTTCTTGGCTTTTTGGCTAAGATTAAATGTAAAACACACAATTTAAAATTGAGACACCTTTGAAGGAAAAGCTGAAAAAGGTCAGAATGTATAAAACAAAAAGAATTTATAAAATAAGAATCAGAATTTATGAAAAAAAGTTACTGTCTATGAAGCAAAGGACCAAAGTTAGAACCTATGAAATAAAATTCTTACCTCTGACAAGTAATCTTGGTGGAAGACCTCCAAAGTGATATAGGGGGAAGAGATGTAACTCCCCAAAACCTGCTAGGTATCCCAAAATGAGTTTGAGTTCTCTAAAATTGAAGAATGAGTTCTAGGAACACGGAGGTGAAGAGTAGGAAAATTCTACTGAGGGAAAGAAAGCTCCTGTACAAGAGAGACACAAAGGGGACCAGAAAGTGGGTTGTCCCAGAGAGACTTTATTTGGCCACCATATTGAAGGCATTCCGCCCTGCTCTGTCTCTACACAGCAATACCTATTTTATTTTCTTCACAGCTCCTTGTGATAGGAAAAAGCTCACTCCTTTGTTTCCTGAATCGTTTAATGTCTGTGTCCCCTCTGTGAGGAGAGCTCTCTCTGCGGAAGACGCTCATCTTGTTCATTGTGGCATTTCTGCCAACCAGAGCAGAGGCTGTGGTACAAAGCAGACGCTCAGTGAAAAACTGTTTTAGCTGAATGGAACACAAACATTGCCTAATCCCAAACTCATACTTTTTAAAAATTCATTAAGTTTATTGGTACATTCTAGGTATACAATATGATGACATGCATCGGTGGGAATTTGTACCTTTACGTGATGTATCTTGGTTATTTTTCCATTTCCCTGCCCTCCATTCAACCCCTGCACTCCAACCCTGTTTACAAAGACTTTGTTTCCATTTCTCTCTTTCCTCATACTTATTCCTTTCCCTTTTTCCTTTCCTTTCCCCTCCCACTTCCACATTCCCCTTTGGATCTTTTCTTCTATTTCACATTATCTATTATACATTTTTATCCTTATTTACACTTTCAGTTTCTCACACCAGAGAAATTATTGGTCTTTACACAGGTGTGCCCTATTTATTCCCTTAAAAGGATGGCCTCAATGTGCATCCATTTAGCTATAAATGTCTCTAGTTTCTCATTCTTATGGCTGAGTAGTACTCCATTTTATTAAAAACAAAAAACAAAAACAAACAAACAACCCCCCCACCACATCTTTATTCAGTCACCAGTTGTTGGGCAATTGGGATGTTTACAACTTTTAGCTATTACAAGCTGTGCCACTATAAACATGGGTGCACATATATCACTGTGGTCTGATTGTTTTAATTCTTCTGGGAAGGTACCCAGTAGGGTAATAGCTGGGTCAAATGAGGCTTCTAATCCTAATTTTTTGAGGAATCTCCGTACTGATTTCCACAGTGGTTGCACCTGTCTACAATGGAGAAGGGTTCCTTTCTCCATCTCCACAGTGCTGCCAGAATTTGTTATTGGTTGATTTCTTGATAGCAGCCATTCTTTCTGGGGTGAGATGGAATCTCAGTGTTGTTTCATTTACATCTCTTGAATAACCAGTGATGTTGAACATTTTTTTTCATATTTTATTTACTATTTATACTTCTTTGTGTGAGATATGTCTGTTCATTTCAGATGCCCATATTTGGATTGGGTCTTTAAATTTTGGAGGTCTGATTTTTTAAAGTTTTTTATATATTCTAGATAGTGGTCCTTTGTCTGAGGAACAGCTGGCAAAAACATTTTCCCCACATGGTGGGTTGTCTCTTCATACTGTTGGTGGTTTCTCATACTGTGCAGAAGCTTTTTTCCTTTTCTTTAAAATTAAAAAAAAAGATAAAAGTAAGGCACAGCAATGACAGTTTGAGGGATTTTTCACACTGAACTCACAGAAGACCTTTGTATGTCGGCAAAAGCTCTAGCTCCATGCATTTTTGGTTGTCTTAGGGACTTCTCCCATGGATGTGAATAAGGTTGCCATCCTGGCCCATGCTGCCCACTACATATTAATTCCTCTTTTGCTGTTGGTCACTGCCTTTGCTGATACTGCTACCATGCTCAGTGGGTAGCTTCACTTTCATCAGCCTCCTCTGTCATTTCCACCATGTAGGTGTGTGCCCTCTGGCCACCTTGGACGTCTGTGACATGGTCTTTGGGAGCTACCACCTTCCTCTTGCTCCTGCCGGAGCCTGCTGTGCCTCAGCTCATGATCCTTCCGTCTGAGCACTGCTGCCCCCGTCAAGAATCCGAGTATTCCGGGAAAGCCGTCACCAAACTGCCTCCAGACCACGGTGGAGTGGAGGTGAAATGTCCTCTCGTTTTGTTTTCTCTCAGTATCAATGATTCTGAATTAAAGTTGCTTGTGCCTCTAAATTCAAGAATTTTCAATCTTTTCTTACCACCACCTCTTTGTTAAATGTAATAGCTGATACTTACACAAGGCTTACGGTATTTCTGGCACTGGTGGGAGAGCTTTACGTACAATAATTTGTGTAATCCTCACAACAGATATGTGAGACAGGAACACCATTATCCTCATCTCAAGGCGATCAGTAAGAGATAGAATTAAGTTCTGAATCCTGGCTACTAGTTTTAGAATCGATGTTTCTAATCATCAGTCAATAGCCAACAGAGAGCTCTACTTCATTGCTGGTACAAACTGTACTTTATGCATTGTTGGTACATTCACTTATATGGAGAGAATAGTAGTTGAATAGCTTTATCCAGATTATTAAATCTTCTGAGGCTCTGTTGTACATCCCAGTCACCTCTCATCTATGAAGAAGTGAAAGGCCTCAGACATATGTCCCCAGGGCAAAGTGGAGATAGATGCAAGAGATTGATGCTCTACTATCTCTCTTCTCTTGTGTTATGTGTGGTTTAGAATGAATATGTCCCTGCAAAGGTGTGTGTGTGTGTGTGTGTGTGTGTGTGTGTGTGTGATCTTGGAAGGTGATTGGACTGTGTGGATGTTATATCCATCAGTGGATTGCCGTTAGGTGGTGGAGGCAGGTTGCAAGAAGTGGATTACTGGGAGTGTGACCTGGAAAGGTACATCCCCCCATTCCCTTTTCTCACTGATTCTTGGCTGCCTTGACACTAGAAATTGCATGGCACACAGGATAAGGAACCAGCCAAGACATGTAAGACATACATTGGGGCAAGGGGAATGGGCTGGATCTTGAAGAGTCTTGACCTGTGCTAAGATTTCAGATTTCGATATTATTTTGTAGAAAATAAAGGGGTGGGAAGTTGGGGGAGCTGGCAACAGTATTAATACATGAGAGCTAGATATAGAAGAGCATTCTACTACTCTCTTCATAGGGTGAGGATTTTCAATCTATGATTCAGAGTTCACTTGATGTCTGCTCAGTCTGTGGGCAGTGTGTGGCCTAAACTATTAAAATATTAATAGAGACAGGACTCTACTTCTGTGGTTCTAATAGAAAGTAATTACTTACAATATCCCTTGTCAAAATCAGTTCCATTTTCCTCATTTGTTGTGATAAAATTTCCCCTCATTATTCCTCTGCTCCGGCAAGAGTGGAGATGATTCCTGTGTATTGGCCCCTGCGAGAGGTCATGAAAGGTTCTAGAAGCATTGCTCAAGATAGCCTCACTCATGCAGACGATGTCACAGCTGATTGTCTTAAATGGCTTTATTCAAGTTAACCAGTCTTCTAAGACTTGTCCTACATCTCAGTCATCTCCCATCTGTGAATAAGTAAAAATGCAAACATTTATTCTAGGAAGCCACCTTCCAAGTATGGTCATCTCTATCAAACTTGGATATGCTCTCACTTTCATGTACACCTGATCAGGCAGTTATTTCTGTTTCACTTTCCTGACTCTCTCCTACTGGGCACACTAATGAAATTCTACCATGACTTCACAATCCTGCAAGCGAAGTATGTTTTCCCTTTCAGAATCAAGTGCCTGCTTGAAATTAATAATTCTCTTCGCCCAAACTACTTTTGAATGTGGTCATCTCTATCTGCAAGAAATATTTAGATGTATCTGCTTATGTCAGAGCAGAGATCTTAGTTCTTTGATATGCTTGAATAAAACTGTGGAGAGAAAACAACCCAATCAGTCTGTTCTATGTATGTGTCTCCCCATGCCATGAAAGCTGTTCCCCTATCTGACCAAGGAGTGAGAGAAAGGGTGTGGGGAACGATACTCAAAGCACACGGAGCGTGTACTCCACAGGAGAGAACCAGGTAATGAGACTTTTGGGAATATGAAAAACTGAGCAGTCAGAAGAAATATTCCCCAATCTTAAAGCTTGTTTTCTGTGTCAATGTAAAAACATGAACTTTTAAAAAATCTTATTGAGTTTATTGGTACTTTTAAAGTATACAGTGTAATTACATTCACTATCAGGAGCTTGATCTGTCATGTAAAGGTACAAGATCCCAATGATGAATGAACTTTTTTATTTCTGTGATTTTCCAAGTTTTAAAATAGGATTGTTCTTCTCAAATGAGGATTCAACAATTTCTTTATATAAAACACATAAAAAGCAGGACTTTTGTTGGTGAAAGGAGTCATGTATCCTGGAGAGATTTTCATTTAATACTCCTTTCTCTCACCCAATGCATCCGCATCTCTCAAAAGTAGAATTCTGAGAAATTTGATGTGAAAAATCCCTGCTCTATCTCATCCATAGTTCTGACATTTGCTTTAAGAGGTATAGCTTTATGAAAAAAGTTGTAAAGAAACATTTAAAGAATGATCAATTTTGTTTTAATAATGAATTACTCTAGACTTCCAGTATTTCCCATTGGAAATGACACGACTTCTTCAGGACAGGGCAATGAATATCAAAATGCCCTGGTTCTTGGAAGCATCCTTCTCGAGAGTCTTTGTCTCTTTCACTCCCACAATTCCTACAATTACTCCTGTGAGGTACTACTCTTTTCTCAAAAAGGGGAAAATTATCTTTTTGCTTAGCACTCATTACTGACCTATTTTAAATGGTGGGGGTGGATATCTATCTATCATGCAAGTGAGAACCAACTTATGAGCTTTCTTAGTCTAAGCGGAACCTTTTTGGAGAGCCAGAAATGTAAAACTTTGACATCATCCACATTTAAAACTTAAAAAAAAAGACACTTTACATAATAAAGAAATTAAATGATAAGAATTAGACATCCACGTAGTTTTAGTCAGTTCAGTTGATGAATGATGGGAGAAAAGGAAAGACAGGAAGGGAGCGGGGGGAAGCGAAGAAGGCGGGGAGCAGAAGACGTGGAATGGAAGGAGCTCAGGAGATGAGGACGGGGCCACCCTCACCTGATGGTCAGCGTCACTCCGGCCCTGCCCCGATGTGCCTGCTGCGATACCAGATGCAGCCTCTTGGCCAGAGAGGCGCCGTGTGAAGGTCGCCCATCTCTCCGAGCGCATCTATTCTAAATCCACCTCTGTCTTCAGGGAAAGTTGCTGTGCTATGGTGGTTTTCATCTTTTTTGAGAAATGCTTTCTAAGAATCAAGGAGAAAAGTAGAAATTAGAAATACTTAGCTCTTCCTTGGTGTTCTAATTTTCTTCCAAATATTCTTTGATATACTTTTGTTTTTTAAGAACTCAGGCCCTGGTGGACACTGTCTCCTACACTCTAGTTCCTTACACACCCCTTTCCTGATTTGCGTACCACCTGTGCTATTTTCCCTACTATTGTAAAATCACACAAAAATTGAGTAATTTGACCTTATTATAAAGTCAAAAAATTACCAATGTGTTACATTTTTTAAAATAAAGAGAGCTGGGTGTGGTGGTACACACCTGTAATCCCAGCACTTGGGAGGCTGAGGCCGGAGGATAGCTCTGAGCTACATAGCGAGTTCAGGGCCAGGCTGAACTACAAAGGGAGACCCTGCCTCAAAAAAAACCAATAAATAAATAAATAAATATTGAGGAATGTGGCAAATAAGTGGTAAATGGTTCATTGTCTGGGTGATACCGTTCTAGGAAATGGCCTTTTAATAGTTTGTGACTGGAATACAAACTGAAGATCTAATAAAACTTTATTTACCATGCATCAAAGAAGAAAGAAATGGGGAAGCTGGTATCCTAGGAAGTGGAAAGGAGCCTACAGGTCACAGGATATTTATTTAAAATTTTGAATTTTTCATTATAAACCACATTTATCATATATATGATGATATTATATATTTATGTAAGACATTTATATTCTGGCTTTGAGTGGTGAAGCTATTGTAGATGTGTGATCCAAATATGACTCTTCACAAAGGTATCATATTGAAGATGCTTTCTCGTTAGTTTCAACCGGCCATTCTAAGTAACATTTCCTGGTGGTGGTGTGGTGGCCCTCTCATTTTCCTGCATTTGTTATTCCTCAAATAAACAAAGTTTCTCTGATTAAAAAATTACACTAATTAATAATACTCTATCAACTTAGCACTTTTGTTCTAAAGAGAAAGACAAATCAGGTTATGCTATTAGTTTATGGATTTCTGTTTGCCAAAGAATTTCCTTTGCAGATTCCAGGGTAGATCAAACAAAAGATCAGCTTTTATAATTCAGTTTTTCTAAGAGTATCTTTCGGTGACTCATTATTTGGAGATAGCTGTGAGAAGAAAGATTTGGAAAATAGAAAGACATTAATTGTGTAATTCACAGTGATAGTAATTTTTTTGTTTATATGCCTTTTTGGGTGCATTTTTTTCTGAGAAAGACTGAATAGAATAATTTTCTTTTTTACCTCTATTTTTAAAGCTCATTGATATGACACAATGCATGTTCCATTATAATCACAGTTATCATGACTTTGGGGAAGCAGGGTTTCAAGTAAACATGCTGTACAGAGGCTTTATGAAAATTTTGGTTTTCATGTTTGAGGATAATAAAAGGATTCCTTTGCCCTGTAGAAAAGACTTCTTGAAAATGAACAGCCAAATGGACTCAGCCCACAAACACCTAGCTGAGATTGTCTCTGTGAAGAATGACATGCCTTCAGCATGAAGAAGGTACAAGAAAAAGACATGTAATTAAGCGGGGAGAAATCAGAAACTGGAGCCATTAAAGAGACTGTGATATGAGGAAAACACTGCACAGGAGATGTGACTGAAGATCTCAGATCTGAGAGCTGAAAGGGAATGAAACTAGTTAAAATTCTACTGCTCATTCACTCCACAGGAGAAATGATATTCCTGTGTGATACCACTTGCCACTTCATTTTTAGAAACAATTAAAAGATGCAAATATTTATGAATCACTGTGTATGTTGTAATCCTATTTTGAAAACAAACATTGCCTTGTATTTTAGGTTCTCAATGTTGGTTGCTGTTGGGATTCTGGGGTTAAAGCAAGCCCTTCAAAATGAGCTCACTACTGCTACCCAGACAAAGGGATGAGACTCGGAGAGTGCGTTCTGTTTGCCTGCAAGCTGTTGCCTGTGCCAAATGAGCATTTTAAACACCATTCAAGTTAAGTTGAAAATTTGTAATTATATTTTCCCTTTTAATTGTAACTTATGCAAATGTTATATTCCAGCTGTACAAATAATTTTCGCTTCAGACTACAACATTCACATTAAATCTAGCATGTAACACCCTAATACAAGATTCTTCCCGGGCTGTAGTTGCAGATTTAGAAGGCGAGTTAGATTGGTTAGTTATGGCTTCTGTTGCTGTTACCCTGCAGTTAAGTGTAGATTACAAAGTGGCTGGAGAGAAGGAAGACACCTTTGCTATAGTTTCCTAGAGACAGTTTATGAATAGGACACATAGAATGATAAAGCAAACAAAAAAAGTGCGAAGTCTAAGAAACCTCTATATTCACTAAGGTAGATGCTGTATCCTTCTGTAATTGATGAATTCAGCTTCAGTGCATTAGTTACAGGAAGGGGTTGTATATGACTCATTTGTTAATTGTCATGCATTTTAAACCACTTAATGCAAACAGAAATTGAGTATTTTCCACTTTCAATGAAAATTTAACTTGGGGAAATCATGTGTGAAATCACCAGAGTCTTTAACTGAGAGTGAAAGATGCATAAATAGTTTTAGAGACAAGTGCACACACAATATTTAAGGGATCACAGGTACCTGAAAAAAGAAACAAAAATTTAAAGCCCATCCCACATAAATGCAGCATATTGCTCTCACTCCTAAAGGGCTCTCTTTACATAAATCTGGAAAAGCTTTCATATTTTTAGCCTGGACATAAGGGGAAACTTGATTTACTTCAATCCAGCTGACTGCTGATCAGCTTTTTTCAATGATTTTCTGGAAGCAATGGAAGAGATGAAGGAAGAAAGTTTATTCAGATAATTCAAAACCTTGTTGATAAAACTGGCACACTTATGGAACAAGATTGACCATAAAAAATAACTTATATGTTTTTATAGGCCTAGCTGAGTGTTCAGTTCTTCATTTCTCAGTTGGGAAAAATGAGTTAGTGAGGTTTAGTGATTTGCCTAAAGTCTCACATCCAATAGTGATATCAATGTGCTTGAAACCTGGGAGGTCTAACTTCTTCTCCTTTGTGTGTTTTTTTTAAGGCTCTGTCAATTGAAAGCTGGGCCATTAAAAATTCTATTTCTTAAATGTGGGTTCTTCCTATCCTTGCTTGCCCATGAAATGAACTTTGACTCTGTTGGAAAATTTTTAGGTTTTTAAACACTTACTTAGGTACTAGCTAGAGATTGCGAGGGTTTGTTGATCTCTAATTAGCTCTGCTTAGATAAAATTGATCTTTAAATGATAGAAAATCCAACATAGCCTTGGAAGTGTCCTGTAAATCCATGTGCTTCAGGTCAAAGAGCAAATAATTAAAGTCCAGATTGATTCTTGTAGTAAAAGGGTAGTGCGAAGAAATGCTAAAAAAATGATGATACGATATGGTATGATATGAGTGGTATGACGTGTGTCATCGGCTTGGGAATGCTCATGGCCTGAACCTTATTTACTTCTCTTGGCACATTCTGTTATGTAAGTGACTATACCAATGGCATATTCCCTTTACTTAAAGGGAAGTTTGGGTGCTCACGTATAGCAAAAAAATGATAATGGTAGGGTTGGTGTGTTGTTCTATGTTCAAAGGTTTTCTACAGATGAGTATGAAGATGGCATTAGCTCATGTGTTTATTGACTCATTCATAGTGCAATTTGGGGCACTTACTGCAGGCAATATTATGTGTAACACTATGTGTACAATTTGACAAAGAAAATTAAATCGTTCATTTAATGATTATTTATGGTCTACATGTAATTTATTATCTAATGGAATCAGAGGTTCTTGGTTTCTGGTCTCTACTCTCATCCAAGAGTTTACTTATGCTATATCTAAAACCAAATAGGTTTCCCTATGTCTCTTGTGTCTCTAATTTAACCAAATTAAGAATAAGCTTATACGTGTAGACTCTTTCTACTCATGTATCTTACCAGATGGGCAACCATACACCACTAAAGAGATGAGAGTGTCTTCCATAGCAGGACTGTGGTTAAAAGCATAGACTTTGGATTTTGATATGTAATGGTTCATATCCTGGCTCTGTACTCACTAATGAAGTCCTTATTACACACTGAGTTTACTCATTAGTTAAATGAGTGTGATTTGGAAAGTTTGCAATAATGATTAAATTTAAATAAATACAGATGGTCCTTGACTTGCAATGAGTTCAGATAAGCCCATTGTAAGTTGAAAATATCATAAACAAAAATGCATTTAATGCACCTACCCTATCCAACATTGAGGCCTGGCAACAGAGTACACTGTTAGCTCTTTACTCTGGCGCTCCATGACTGGCTGGGTGTTGCAGCTCATTGCCCCTGCTGAGAATCTCAGGAGAGTATCTGCCACATATTGCTACTTGGAGAAAAAAGAAAAATCCGCAATTTAAGGTATAATTTTTACTGACCGTTTAGCTTTTGTACCTTTATAAAGTTAGACATGCTTGATGGCCTATGAGAAGTAAGGTCTGAGAAATGATGACTCTTAGTAACATTTTGCTAAAATTTACTTTTCTCTCAATGCTCACTTCCATTTCCAAGCCCTAACTCTTGCCTGCCATGTTTGAGTCCTTGTGTGTCCACAATATTATGTTGCTGTTGAATAGATACCTCCATTGATTCCCTTCATTGACTTTGACATACTGATAATTGTCTGGCTTTCTAATGGTGGCAGTGCCAGAGCTGACCAAACTCATCTTGGATACTTTCTGGAGAGCATGCAGAGGTACAACCAGGAAGAAAGCCAAGGAAGCTGGCCCTCCAGCCTTGAGGAGAGTGATTCCGGGATGTCAATTGCATTCCAATTCCTTGTTTTTTTCATGATCCCCTCCTCTCAACTTCAGTTTCTGTGTTCCGTTCTCCCTCCCCACCTTCTTTCTTTTTCCATCTTTTCTTGAGACACTTACAAATATGCATTAACTCCACAGTTCCCAACCAGGGCATTATCTTTATTAACACTTGCAGTTTTTGTGGGTTATAGATTTTTTTTCATGACCTCTACACTGCCCCAGGATATGCAACTGCCATTTATTTATATGGTCTTCCACATTGATGAAATGCAGATAAATTGAAAAATCTGCCTAGAATCGTTTTCCTGGGGATATAGGGAAACAGGCATTTCCACAGTTAATTGTGTGTTCATTTTTAATCATAGCCTAATAAATTGGCTTTTCTTTTTTATGGCTTCAAGTTTGCTTTTGGAAAAGTCTCTGAATATTGACACCTTTGCTTCATGTGTGGGCATCTGTTCCCCCTCAGAGTATATTCTGAAATGGGAGGAACAAGCAATAAAATTGTGTAGGGAAGGATGAATTTTTTTTATATTTCAGGAGCAGAAGAAATTCTTTCCTTCAGGCTTTGGAACCATATTAGGAATTTAGGATAAGAAAAACCTATACACAGCATTATAGCAGTCTGATGGACTAGAGTTCACAACACAGTGTTTTCCCCATCTTGCTGACTTTCTTTCTCCAGAAGACGGATCTGTATCCAGAGCCTCTCAGTTTATAGGGCATGTAAGAACCAGGGAGGTGTTCATTAGATTTCCATTCACTGTGTGAGTTGGGGCCCAGCACCCTGCATGTACAGCCATCCCTCTTCTTGGAGATTGCTTTACTCTCTCCTGGGTTCTACTCCTGCTTTTTGCCCATTTTCCCAGTCTTGGCTAAGGGAGGCTGGTGGAGAGAAGGTGCCTTACAAAACAGATGCAGCTGTGTGAGAGCTGTTTACTCAGAACTATCAGGGCTGTCTAATACACTGCACCATTGGGCTGTTGCTTAGGGAGACACCTATGATTCCATTAATTATTTAGGGATCCAAAGTAGCCACCATTAATGAATTTGAATGTATTACAATGATCCTAATCAGAGTAACAGATGCAAAATGACAATATGATACACACAATTTTCCCCCAGCGAGTTGCACACTATTAAGGTCTGTTGCAGTCAATGAATCCAGATGCTTCCACACACTTACTGACCATGAAAGATTTTGGTTTCATTAAATGGAAGAAAATAACTTCATCCTTGCAGAGTTAAAGCAGGATCCAATTCAGCAGCTGGTAAGGAAGTATAAGTTGGTTTGCAATAATCCTGCTTTTGCTTCAGGAATGACTGAGTGGAAGAGTTCTACTGCATCTGGGCTTATCATTCCCTTTACATTATTCTTGTGCTTTCCCAGATGAGATAGTTTACTTTTGCTAAAAAAGCCTTCAGTGGACTAAACAAGCTTTATATACACCGAGTGAGAAGAAAATAAGCTATGTAAAAATGTGAGCTTCTGTGAGAAGAAGGTAAATTCATTAAAACCAGAGTAGCAAAACTAAAGTTGACTGTGATAAAGCGTGAAGTATAAAGCTCCTCGAGAATATATTCCTAAAAATAAAGTCAAATTTCTGACAGAAACCAGGTCATACACAGCAGTATTTCCCCCTTCTTGCCTTTGGAATTGTAGGAAAGAAAAAAAACAAAAAATAAATTGAAGATTTTCTACATTTTAGGAGAGAGAGAGAGAGAGAGAGAGAGAGAGACAGAGGGGGGAGAGAGACAGAAAGCGGGGTGGGAAATGTAAGCCACAGAATCTGCTACACCTGTGCAGGCTGCCAAGAGATGCTGAAACTGC